AACAAGAAAATTGGCGGCCAGGCTTGGTGGCTCAGCCTGTAATCCCAGTACTTTGGGAAGCCGAGGCAAGTGGCTTGCCGGAGCCCACGGGTTCAAGACCAGCCTGGGCAATTTGGAAAGACCTCGCCTCTACAATAAATAAAAAAAAACATTAGCCGGGCGTGGTAGCACATGCCTATAGTTCCAGCTACTTGGAAGGCTGAAGTGGAAGGATAGCCAGAGCCCAGCAGGCCAACACTAGGGTGGCCGTGAGTATGCCACTGCACTCCAGCCTGGGCAATGGAGTGAGACTCCAACTCAACAAAAGAAAAGAAAAGAAGAAAGGAAGGAAGGAAGGAAGGAAGGAAGGAAGGAAGGAAGGAAGGAAGGAAGAAAGAAAGATAATCGGCAGTTTTAATTCGATGGAAAACACAATGCTACCAAACAACGTTACACAACGCCACCACCTTGCAGACGCTGGCTGAGCACTCCTCATCACTCTCCCACCCAAAGCTTTCAGGCTCACCAGTGACAAAGCCTCACTGCCCGTGCCTGCCTCACTCCCCACACTGTCTCCCTGCCATCAGCCCCTCCCTGGGGCTCCCAAAGCACTAGAGTTTCCTTGCTAAGCTGCTTCCTCCCAAATGATTTTCTGTCTCTTCCCTCAAGCACTCTCACATCCCCAGCTCCTACCCCTGGTCAGGGACCAGCAGGTGAGACTCCCCTGTGCTAACCCTTGTCTGGAATAGAAGAAGAGCGTGTCTAAGGGCTATGAGTTCATTTTCTGAGTCTCTAAACCATACCAGAGTTTTCAGAGCACATATGACAAAGACTCCACCAAACACCCTCCAATCACAGGACAGACAGACTTATCTTTCCGGAAAAATCTTTGAGTTCTCCCTCAGAACCCCCCTCACAGCTCTCCAAGGCTCCGTGTGCCCCATCTATTTGTTTATGCACTTTTTAAAAACTCCTTTAACAACTCAGGCCAGTTTTGCTGCCTTTTCAGCCCCAAGCAGTGTCTGCCCCTCCCCGAGCGCTGGGTGGGGCTCTGGGATCAGTTAAAGGCTGCAAGCACCCATGAGTGTTGCATCAAACCAGCCCAGTCCTGCCTGTCTCTGCAACAGGGGCTCCCTGCCGAAAGCAAGCCTGTGAGAAGTGGCCTGCTGCCAGAGTCAGCCAGTACCCTCGGTCCAAGCAGGGCCGGGATCCCAGCAGTCGGTCATGATAAGGAGAGGCTTCCAGGTGGCAGCAAGACTTGGCCACCCCAGAGCACTTCTTGGGGGCCCCTGTATCCTGCCTGGACTCCACCCTGCCTTAGCATTTGGATCCTCCACAGACTCCCTGGTGAGTGAGTTCTCCCGGGTGCCTAGGGTTTAAGGAGTACCCCAAATTTCCTCTGCCTAGCTTGTGGCAGGGGTGGGCAGGGCAGCATCTGAGGGAGCTATTTGCTTTGTCAAAGGGAAGGTGCTCTGAGATACCGAATAGCCCAGATGCAAGACTAAACCATCAGGATGCATGCTTCCTAATCTGAGTCTCGTGTGGCCGCCCACAAATCACTTTCCTCCTATGGGACCCAGACTACTGCACCAAAGTTGGAATGTTCCTAGACAGAGGACCTTGTCTATGGTCTTGACAAGCAGCTTGCTTGCTGCCCATAGTTGCAATTAGTGCATGAGCAACTGGCATTATTGATGCTACAGAGGACTCCCCTTTGTCCCCCAGACAGACACACTATCTCTGCCTCAGCTGTGGCCTCACACCTCTGTGTAGGTCCAAGCATGTTTCAAAGGGGCAGTCCTGCCCAAGCAGGCCGACAGCTGTGGACAGAACCGGAGCAGCCTCTGCGGCAAGGAGTCATAAAAGCGGTCCTCACCACCTGTGGCTTTACCTCCCGAGAGTAGACCGTGTCTAGTGTAACCACTAGGTCTCACACTCACACGCTTGACAACCTTGGCCATATTTCCTCAGCTTCCCCATCGGTACAGTGGGGCTAATATTAGCAGTACTCAGCTTCAAAGTTTTGAAAACAGAACAAGAGTAATGCAGCCCCACGGAGCAGTATGCCTATAATCGTTGGCCCCTGTTCCTTCCCCTGGCTCTTCAGCACCCCCTACCTAGTCACCCACAGGGATCCCTGAACCCTCTGCAAGGAGGATGGACCCTTTCCCTCTGGGTGGCTCTCGGGCAGAAGGGTTTGAGGAGCCCAGGAATCCAGGAACAGACTACATAGAGGCCCTGCAGTCCAGGCAGCAGCCACCTCCCTTCAGGACACCGCCTCGTCTCCTGATTTTTCCTGCCCAGGTCTCAAGATTCTGCCCAGAGAAGACAGACTTGAAGGATTATGCTCTTCCCAATGCCAGTTGGTGTCCAGACATGTTGAGTCTGTACCAAGAATTTCTGGAGAAGACCAAGTCCAGCGGCTGGATCAAGCTACCCTCCTTCAAGTCCAACAGAGACCACATCCAGGGACTCAAGCTCCCATCTGGGTTGATAGTCACCTCAGGTAAGGCCAGGCCCGAGAGGGAGGTCGACACACACATGTCCCTGGCCCCCTTCCCTATGCTCTAAGACTCTTGGGAGGAGATTCACAAGCTCCCTTCCAATTCTCAGCCCAGTTCTTCCAGCTGCCTGACTCCACCCATCATGCTGCAGCCCCAGGCAGGTCTCCAGCTCCCTTCCTCCCATCTGAAGTGTGCCCACCCTCCAGGGCCCGCCTTTGCTCCCAGCCAGGCGTGTCCCCACTGGCGAGCTGTCAGCTCAGCTCCTGCCTTTCTGACTTCTCACGGTGGTTCTTCCCTTAGGATCAAGTCTCAGCCCAAGCCCTCCACCCCAAGCCCTTGGACCCCCCTTGCCCAATGCAGGTCCCACTCTTGAAATATCCTACCCTCTTCCTCTGGGGGTGCGTGTGTGTGTTTTCTTGTCTCTCTCATTCATATACATGGTCTCCCAGTGGTGAATGGGTGGATACAGTGAGCAGGCTACCCTTGGGATTATGATAAAAACAAAGCAGGAATACCCCCCCCTTTTTTTTTTGAGTTGGAATCTCACCCTGTCACCCAGACTGGAGTGCAGTGGCCACTCCTGGTCACCGCAGCCTCAACCTGCTGGGCTCCGGCGATCCTTCCGCCTCAGCCTTCCAAGTAGCTGGAACTACAGGCATGTGCTACCACGCCCAGCTCATTTTTGATTTGTTGTAGAGATGAGGTCTTGCCAAGTTGCCCAGGTGGGTCTCGAACCCACAGGCTCAGGCAATCCACTCACCTCAGCCTCCCAAAGGCGCGGGATTACAGGCTGAGCCACCGAGCCTGACTCCAAATAATTTTTTTAAATTGATACTTCTGAAAAAGGATGGAGCTATTATAGTTGTCTTGAGGGAAAAAGTCAGAACTTTGGTGGCCTTTTCTGTACTTGTTGTACTGTTTAGTACTGTTATTTTGAATTATATGTTAATTACATGAGTAATTACATTTTTAATTTTCAATGCGTATGGTCTCTTACAGTCTTGATCTTGCCCTGATCTTATCTCCACCCTCAGTCAGGGCACTTTGGGCAGAGCCTGAGGGCCCTTGGGTTCTCTCTCCTTGACCTTGTGCCTGAGGCAGGGCTCAACCCCTGGTGCTGCACCCCACATATTCCCTTCTCCAGCTGTGACACTGCCCATCTCTCCCCAGATGAAAGTGACCAGCGCATCTTCACCAGGTGCATCCAGGTGGAAGGACAAGGCTATGAGTATGTCATCTTTTTCCACCCATCCAAGAAGAAGTCCATCTGTCTTTTCCAACCAGGCCCCTACCTAGAGGGACCCCCAGGGTAAGGCCACAGGCAAAGAACCCAAGCTGCCCCCTGGGCTTGGCTCAGCAGGGTGGTTTTAGCACACACCAGACCCTGGAGTCTGTAACTTTCTCTAAGGAGCAACAACAGGGGTGTAGGGCACTAGGCTTCAGTCTTACAGGGCCAGGCCTGGATGGACACAGGGTTGTCTGGCCCATTCCCAATGTGAAGATAAGGGAGAACTTTCTTTTTTAAAATTTGTTTATTTTAAAGATGTGGGGTATAATTTAGGATTAAGTAGATAAGTGGTCATTTTATAGATAAACTTTGGATCTCCCTTTGGTCCTTACTTCCCCTGGTTTGAGATCATGTACTCTTATTGATGTTATGTGCCCTACCCACCAATCCCTTTCTTATAATATTATGATAAATGTGCAGGGTTCATTTATGAGTGAGTACATATGGTACTCAGTTCTTTGTTTCTGTGATAGATCACTGAATATTATGGACTCTAAATCCATCCACATTGCTGCAAAGTCCATAACTTTATCCTTCTTAATTGTATGCCATTGTGTATATGTACCACATTTTCAAAATCCAGTCCACTCTCATTGGGCAGCCCAGTTGGTTCCATGTTTTTTCTATTGTGATAGATTAACCAGACAGAAGAAAGAATCTCAGAGCTTGAAGACCAAAGTATGGGACTAACCAAAACTATTAAAAACATAGGAAACTGTGTGATTATATTAAGAGATTGAACTTACGACTAATCTGTATTCCCAAAGTAGAAAAGGAGAATGACAGCAGCCTGGAACAAACATTCCACAAGGTCATCCAAAAAAACTTTCCACATCTCATCAGAGATACAGCCATCCAAACACAAGAGATTCCCAGAATCCCTGCAAGGTACCAAATGAGAAGACCATCTCCTAGATACACAGTAATCCACTTACACAAAGTAGGTATAAAAGAAAAAAATCCTAAAGGCAGCAAGAGAGAAAGGTAAGACTATCTTCCAGGAAAGACCAATTAGAATAGCAGCAGATTTATCTACAGAAATACTACAAGCTAGAAGAAACTGGAGTCCAATCTTCAAAGTTCTCAAAGGTAAACAATTCCAATCAAGAATTTCCTACCCAGCTAAGCTAAGATTCATCAACAATGGAGAATTAAAAACCTTCCCAGACATTCAATCTCTGAGTCTATGCTGCCTCCAGACCAACTCCACAAGAAACATTTAAGAAGGTATTAAACACAGAAGGAAAAAAAAAAAAGAATGGCCACTCTCTTCCCACAGATACAGGAAAATAGAGAACCAACACAGCATGCATCATGACTGCAAAATTGAAAACATACACATATATCAACCCAAAAATCAAAAGAAAATCAACCAACATACAAACAACTCTATAAGAACCTCATGACAATGATAAACTCTCACATCTCAATAGTCAGTCTAAATGTGAATGGACACAATGCATCACTGAAAAGACATAAAATGGCAAACTAGATTTTTAAAAATTCAACCCATCAATATACCATCTTCAGGAGACACATCTCACCAGAATGGACACTCACAGGCTCAAAGTTAGAGGATGAAAAACAAATTATTGGGTGAATGGAACACAAAAGAAAGCAGGAGTCATGATCTTAATATCAGACAAAATAACATTTAAGCTATAAAAAAATGTAAAGACTATGGAAGGGGTGGGGGGTGGGGAGGAAAAGAATACAGAAGGACACTATATAATGATTAAAGGGCAAATCCATCAACAAGAAATATCCATCCTAAATATATGTGCATCCAACATGGGAGCATCCGCTTTTATAAAACAGCTACTAAATAAACTAAAAAAAGATATTGACTCTAATACTATCATAGCTGAGGACCTAAATACCCCACTAACAACCCTAGATAGATCTTCGAGGCAAAAAAATCAATAAGGAGATTTGGAACCTCAACTTGACACTTGACCAAATGGACTTAATAGATACCTACAGAAAACTCCACCCAACACCACGGAATATACATTCTACTCATCACCACATGGAACCACATCCTCAACCCTAAATCAAGTATAAACAAATTTCATAAGATCAAAATACTGCCATGCACCCTCTCAGATCCGTGGAATAAAAATAAATATCAACATCAACAAAATTCCTCCAAAACCCACAAAGTCATGGACATTAAACAGCATGATGCTGAACAACTCCTGGAAGAAACTTCTTATGGAAATCTCAGAATTTTCCAGACAAGGGTCACTTGAGAAGAATGTGGTATGCTTTTTTCTCTTCTCAAAGAGCCACTTTGAGAAGAATGTGGTATGCTTTGAGAAGGGCAAGATCTGGGACCCAGAGCCCCACTTCTAGTCCTGCTCTGCCACCACTGGCCTTGGGATCCCAAGCAAGCAATTTGACCTCTTATTTTTAGTCTTTTAACCTGAAACGTGAGTCAATGATATCTACTTGCCAAGGTAACTGAGAGATAGTGGAAAAATTAAGCCTCAGAAAAGTTTAGCAACTTGCTAAACTCAACATAAGTTAAGGAGTGATGGAGCAAGGTGTCAACCAGTTGGCTATGGCTGCATGGCCTCTGGCTCTCTCCACCAAAAAAGCCCATTGGTGGCAGGATCAGGCAGGCAACCCAGGTAATAACTGACCTGGGCCCATGGAGAATTGGGATTGTGCTTTTGAAAATCAGGAACTCAGCTGGACACAGCGGTTCATGCCTATAATCCCAGCACTTTAGGAGGCCAACGCAAGAGGATTGGCTGAGTCCAGGGGTTTGAGACCAGCCTGGGCAACTTGGCAAGACCTCCTCTCTTCAGTAAATCAAAAAATTAGCCAGGCTGAGTGCAGTGGCTCACACCTGTAATCCCAGCACTTTGGGAGGCAGAGGCAATAGGATTGCCTGAGTCCAGAGGTTCTAGACCAGCCTGGGCAACATGGTGAGACCTCGTCTCTACAATAAATCAAAAAATGAACGAGGCATGGTGGTACATGCTACTTGGAAGGCTGAAGCAGAAGAACTGCCTGAGCCCAGCAGGTCGAGGCTGCAGTGGCCATGAGCATGCCACTGCACTCTAACCTGGACAACAGAGTGAGACTCTAACTGGAAAAAAAAATTAATGGGGATTGGTGGTACATGTCTGTAGTTCCAGCTTCTTAGAAGGCTGAGGTGGAAGGATCACCTAAGCCCAGCAGGTTGATGCTGCGGTGGCCGTGAGTGTACCACTACACTCTAGCCTGGGCGACAGAGTGAGACTTGGACTCAAAAAAAAAAAAAAAATCAGCAACTCGAATATACTCAATGTTATTTACATGCAACAGCTAGACACCTTTCTATTTTCCCCAATTTAACCAACAGTGAAGTAGCTGGCATGAAGCTTGCACAAGGGAAAATGAACATTTTATGCTCTTTACATAAAGCAAATGTTTGCAGCAGGCTGCTGAAGGGGCGCTTGGCTCTCCATGGGCAGGGCTGTTCAGGAGTCCACTGTGCTGGCACTTGATAGGTCATAATTTGTGTTTCACATTTATATCTTGAAATGTGGGCCCAGCACTGGCTGTAGTGACTGGTAAGGTGAGAGATGGCACAAGGTTGTGCTTCCAAAACTACGGAGGAAAAGTTCAGGGGCGTTTCCAGTCTCCCTATGTGTGCACCCTTCTAAATGACAACAATTGTCAGTAATTAGGTGATGAACCAGAAAAATATTTTCCATTAACTCTATCAGAAAAAATAATGTTCCTGGTGAAATAAAATGATTGCCTCAGTGGCTACTAACACACGCTGAAGCAAAACAGGAGAAAAGCTCAGTTGTTTTGCCTGGTTTGATCAGATGGGATGCAGCTCTCTTTTCTTTACTGTTTAGCTGCCCTGAGACGGAAGACCTATGTTTGGAGGACTGTGGGGAGAGGGAGAGGCAGGGCCACCACAGGATGGGTGAGGCCCCATGAGGCAGTCTGCCCAGTGGCCCCAGCCCTAGCCTTGCTCCCTACCCCCACCCTCAGGTTTGCCCATGGCGGGTCTCTGGCGGCCATGATGGATGAGACCTTTTCTAAAACTGCCTACCTGGCTGGAGAGGGGCTGTTCACAGTAAGCCTCGACATCAGGTTCAAAAAGTAAGTATGGATCCTGAGGGCACTGGCCAAAGTCACAGCCCCGTTCATCCCTGGGGGTGGCCATCCTTGGCAGTCGGGGCGTGGGAGTCCTGCCTGCCACTCTCCCTCGCCAGCTGACTCGAGTCTCTGGCCAGGATGCAGCCTCTGCCATCCAACTCTGGGAGCTGACAAACCGGCCCTAAACTCAGGGCCACTTAGGAGTCCTTGAGGCAGGTGGGATGAAGAGAAGGTTAAGGGCATAGAGGGTGAAGGGATGAGGTCTGGGGTCCACATGAGGGATGAGCTAAGCTACCTTCTTTCCCAGCTTGATCCCCGTGGGCTCCCTGGTTGTACTGGATGTAAAAGTGGAAAAGACAGAGGACCAGAGGCTTTACATGTCTTGCATTGCCCAGAGCAGAGACCAGCAGACGGTCTATGCCAAGTCCTCAGGTAAGGAAGTCCCCAGCCTCAGCCCTGGGCGCTCTCCTGCCACCATCCACCCCAGAACAAACAGGAAGGAGGAAGGATGCTGAGGATCCATCCCAAGCTGGGGTCCAGCTTTGTCAGGTGTGGGTCTGAGCACGTGCTGGATACACAGGTGAAGGGAGGGAAAACTCAGCTAGGGTTTCTTCCTATGTCTGAGTGGCCTAACCTGTATTGTGGGAGCAGGATCCAGGCCAGGGGTAATTTGGAGCCACCTGCTCAGAGCACCCTGCCTAGCCCCTGCCATCCTGGTGCTGGTTCTTGTTGCTCAGCTAGCCCTTCTCTTGCAGGTGTTTTTCTTCAGCTGCAGCTGGAAGAAGACTCGTCCCAGTAACAGTGTCTGTGCCTTCAGGAGAGCCTCCCACCCTCTGCCCTTCCTGCCATGGACCACCACAGAGCAGGGAGAGATCCCCAGGAAGCAGTCAGTGAGGTGATGGAGAGGCCCCTTTCCTCTGAGTAAATAAAGTCTCACAGTCCCATTCTTGGCCCAAGACTGTCTGTGGTTGGAAATCAAAATCCTTCCAGCGCATCCCACATGCTCACTTTCCTGTTCAGCATCAACAGAAAAGACTTGCTGAATGCCTGCCAGGTGCTAGGCCTGGGTGAAGCGCCAGGCACACAGCCATGAAAGGCCCCTCTTGACCCCTGGCAGAGGACCAGGAGCCGGGGCCGAGTACTCCATCAAACTCCATGCCCAGCCCGGCTCCTATCATGAGTGCAGTGGAGGCCCCAAGGGAGATGAGGCGATTTTACTCTATGAAAGCAATCAGAAAAGACTTTCTAGAGGAAGCTCTGTCTGAACTGAGTCTCAAAAGTTAAGTGGGGCCGGGCTCGGTGGCTCAGCCTGTAATCCCGCGCCTTTGGGAGGCTGAGGTGAGTGGATGGCTTGAGCCCGCGGGTTCGAGACCCGCCTGGGCAGCGAGACCTCATCTCCACAATAAATCAAAAAAATCAGCCGGGCGTGGTAGCGCATGCCTGTAATTCCGGCTACTTGGAAGACTGAGGTGGAAGGATCGCCGGAGCCCAGCAGGTCGAGGCTGCGGTGGCCGGGAGCGGCCATTGCACTCCAGTCTAGGTGACAGAGTGAGACTCCAACTCAAAAAAAAAAACAAAAAGTTAAGTGGGGCCGGGCATAGTGGCTCATGCCTGGAATCCCATCATGTTTGGGGGCCGAGGCAGGAGGATTGCTTGAAGTCAGGAGTTCAAGACCAGCCCATCAACATATCGAGACCCCACCTCTAAAACAAAAAAGTTTAATGATGTCTCCAGGCAAGCAAGGGAGAGGAGGATATCTCAGGCAGAGGAATTAGCAAGGACAAAGGCACAGGAGTGTGAAACAGTAGGCAGGTGTTTAGGAAAGCAGAAGGTGGGCAGGGGCAGGAGCAAGCCATGCTAGGGAGTTTGAACTCAGTTGCACAGGCAACAGGGAGCCCGGTAAGGGCTTGGGCTGGGAGGGATATAAAGCTTTGTTATTTAGAAAGGTGACTGGTGGCAGTAAGAGACCAGCAAGACTGAGGCAGGAGGACTGGTTAGGACCTCTTGCAGCCTCCACTCTAGAGACAACAAGAGCTTGCCAGGGTCAGAGCAGTGAAGACGAGACATATGGGAAATGTTACAAGGGAAGCAAGTGCGGGACTTTGCAACTAATTATACATGGTGGGTTTGTAAACGACAGTCATCTGGGATGACGCCAAGTTTCTGGCTTGGGAACTTCCAGGTAGTCTGTCTAGAAAAGAAGAAAGAGCAGGTCTGATGTGGGGGGTAAAGGAGTCAGTCTTACGTGCATTAAACTTGAAGCGCCCATGAACTTGTACCATGTGGCAAGTGCCAGCTGGGACCTGGATATTGTGATTTGGAGCTCAGGAGAGATGTGCTGCAGACTCAATTTGTGAGTCAACATAAAAACTGACACGGAACCCCTGGGAATGGCTTATGCAGAGAAAAAGTGAGGAAGAGGCGAGGAGGGGACAGTGGGGGTGTACGGGAGAGGGAGGATGAGGAAAGAGGTCAGAGACAGGATGTTAGGTAACACTAAGGCTTAAGGTTGAGCTAGAAGACCAAGAAGCCATTTAGGAGGCTGAGAATAGGACAGGAGTGACTGCCCTTAAGAGGATGAGTCAGCAGTATCAAATGCTGAAGAAAAGGCAAGGAAGATGAGAACTGAAAAGAGGGCTTTGGATCTGGCCATGAGAAAGGTGTGGTCTCCTTTGGCCAGAGCAATTTTAGGAGGTGGGAGCAAATTCCAGATTACAGTGATGAAAACACGAAAGGAGAATGAGAAGATGAATATAGATGATTCTTTCTAGAAATGTTGCTGTTGTTCAAGGAGAGATATTTGACTGTTTATAAATCGCTAGTGGAGAGAGGCTGAAACTTTGAGGAGACAGAGATATCATTCAACAGAACAGCTCTCTGGTCTTGGAGACAGATCAAGAGCGCAAGAGGAGACAGGAGTAATGCGAGAGCATCAGCGTGACTCTGAGACCAGAAGGAAGGAGGCGGGGTGCAGAGCAGCACAAGAAGGGGTTCACACCAACATGCCTCAACTTTCTCAGTGAAACAGGAGGCAAAGCCACCAGTGGGGAAACAGGCCTGGAGGAAGGGGGTTGGTCATTTGGAGAAGCCACTGTAGGGATCAGGAAAACAAATTGACTAGGCCAAGCATGCTGAGGGCCCAGTTGCTGGTATAAAACAAGTCTATGAAGTGGCACCAACCTGGAGTGAGAGGAAGATGGGAGCCAGCCAGCCAAATCCAGGGGCAGATAAGTCAGGTGAGAACCGCGGAAAAGGAGAGGGAACAACATGGCTGGTGCACATTTCTAAGGAGGAAAGATCTGCCGTGAGGGGGAAGACCAACAGAGGGAAGGAGGCACAGGCTACCCAGGAGAAGTCTGTAATTCCCCTGGGCCTGGGGAGGAGAAGGGTGGGAAACTGAGCAGCTTCCACAGGGAAACCTGTAAGAAAAGACATGTCCTGTCTTGGGACATTAAGGCCAACGGTGGCCACCTGGAGCGGGTGTCCAGGAAGAGGTCAAGATAGGGAAGTTTTATTTCATTTTATCTTATTTTATATTATTTTATTTTATTTGGGGGAGAGTTTTATTTTAAAGAATGAGAGCTTCAAGGGTCATGTCATAAAGGATGTTATTATTAGATATGGTAAAAACTAAATGCTGAAACAAATAAACCTTTAAATCTCTGTAGTTTAGCTGGGTTCGGTGGCTCAGCCTGTAATCCCGCACCTTGGGAGGCTGAGGTGAGTGGATTGCCTGAGCCCGTGGGTTCGAGACCCGCCTGGGCAACTTGGCGAGACCTCATCTCTACAATAAATCAAAAAATCAGCCGGGCATGGTAGCGCACGCCTCTAGTTGCAGCTACTGGGAAGGCTGAGGCAGAAGGATCGCCGGAGCCCAGCAGGTCGAGGCTGCGGTGGCCAGGAGTGGCTACTGTACTCCAGTTTGGGCGACAGAGTGAGACTCCAACTCAAAAATAAATAAATAAATAAATAAATCTCTGTAGTTTAACCCATGTCTTCAATATAATGTATTCTGACCAGGCACAGTGGCTCATGCCCATAATCCCAGCACTTTGGGAGGCCAAGGTGAGAGGATTGTCTGAACCCACGGGTTCAAGACCAGCCTGGGCAACTTGGCGAGACCTCATCTCTACAATACATTTTAAAAAACTAGCCAGGCATGGCGGCGCGTGCCAGTAATTCCAGCTACTTGGAAGGCTGAGGTGGAAGGATCGCCTGAACCCAGCAAGATGAGGCTGCGGTGGCCGTGAGCACGCCACTGCACTCCAGCCTGGGCAACAGCGTGAGACTACCACTCAAAAATATATATATAATGTATTTCTTACTCAAAGTCCTGTTGGTGTCTAGGGGTCATTCAGGAACCCTCTGACAAAGCTTCGCCATCTCCAACACATGACTTCCAAAGTCACCCTGGGTGTTGGCATCTAGTGGCCAGCTGAGAGAAGAGAGAATCCATATGGGAGATGTCTTGGGGCCAGTCCTCAAAGTGGTTCCATTGGCCAGAACTCAGTCACAAGGCCCCATCGAACTTCAAGGGAGGTTGGTTGGAAAACATGGTCTAACTATATGTTGAAAAAGAAAGGGAAACGGGTTTGGTGAGTAGCTGGCAGTCACTGCCTCAGTTTGAAAATAGAAGAGGCTAGGCACAGTGGCTCACGCTTATAATCCCAGCACTTTGGGAGACCGAGGTGAGAGGATTGCCTGAGCCCACGAGTTCGAGACCAGCCTGGGCAACTTGGCGAGACCTCATCACTACAATAAATCAAAAAATTAGCCAGGCTTGGTGGTGAGTGCCTGTAGTTCCAGCTACTTGGAAGGCTGAGGCAGAAGGATTGCCTAAGCCCAGCAGGTCAAGGCTGTGGTGGCCGTGAGCGTGCCACTGCCCTCCAGCCTGGGCAACAGAGCGAGACTCCAACTCAATAATGATAACAATAATAAAGTAGAAAAAGAAAGAGTCTATGTTCAAACGCTTATCTGGGCAAGAGAAAAATTCTGCTTCAGGCCTAAGCTGAGATTCCAGGATCCAGGGCTGGGGCTAGGGCTTCAGGGTATCAGAAAGAATGAAATCTTTTATGGCATGGAACAGGGTCATCACATTTGGAAACCCATTCAGTGATGAAGTCGGTGAATCGGGTTCTCTTTCCAGTTCCTAGACCACACACTGCCTAAGCCATCCATCTCAATGATGGGCAAAGGATAAGTGGACATGGATTTAAAGAGCCATGACCCAGTGCTAGAAATGTACTTGGAGGCCATGCCAAAAATCTTATGAAAACCACCTATCCATATAGTCACATAAAGACCTTTTCTCCTTTATGCTTTCACAGTTGCCCATGATAATCTATTAAACCCAAATCTAAATCAGTGCATACAGAAAAACTAGTTGCCCTTTATTCATGGTCATATATTCATGGTCAAGGACACCTAATCTTCATTCAAACACTCACAGGAGTAGAAAGGAAATATCTTTCATCCTTCCTAGGCAACCAAGAAAAGAAAGAAAGTAAAACAGCTGTACTTGAGTTTCCACGTTAAAATAGGTTGAATATGCTGGGCGTGGTGGCTCATGCCTATAATTCCAGCTCATTGGGAGGCAGAGGTGAGAGGACTGCCTGAGCTCAGGGGTTTGAGACCAGCCTGGGAAACTTGGCAAGACCTCATCTCTACAATAAACAAAAAATTATCTGGGCATGGTAGCACACAGCTGTAGTTTCAGCTTCCTGGAAGGCTGAGGCAGAAGGATCACCTGAGTCCAGCAAGTTGAGGTTGCAGTGGCCATGAACATGCCACTGTACTCCAACCTGGGCAACAGAGTGAGACTCTGACTCAAAAAAAAAAAAAAGAAAG